AGTTCATCCTCAAATTTAGAGTCAGAATCAGGCTCATCAGAAGATTGACTCTTTATTTCTTCTACACCAGGCACCTGTGCTAATATGAGATTTAAAAAGAACACATAAGATACCTGTAACATGACTTCTTCTCCCTATCTACAAGCCTTGCATGCTCCATCTAAGAGCTAGGCAAGGTTCTTCTGAGTCTTTTCCCACTGAAATGAAGGGTTTCCAAGCTCAACTTATTGTAGAGGCAATAAGAGGCCTGTACAAGTGTTTGATTTTAACCAATTAGCCCTTAATCAGCGACTATATTAAAGGAGGAGCTGAAAGATGTAATGCTTTTTACTTGTACATGTTGTAAAGCAGCATAAAATAAGTGGGCATGACTGAATTAGTCAGAAAGATATTAAAAAGAGTGCTTTTATTTTACTCTGTCAAGAGTGAGTGAGAAACATTTTAATGTGCTAGTCCTGCAAACACAGAAGTATAGAAAAACTTAGTAAAGTGTGTAGTCATGTTTCTTAAAATGGAATTTAGAGCAATTGTGTAAATCCTTGGTGCTAGCAATAGTCACTTTAGGGCCAGAAATTGTGAAGGTAAATGCAGTACATAAAACCTGAAAAATCTCATTAAAGGCATGAAGATATTTCGGAGTTACTCTGTCCAGGCAAAAACCTGGTACTCAGCCCAAGTGTAAGTATGTGGCACAGCTATCCTTTACCTATGCAAAATATTTATTTTATTCTGCTCTTCAGGCATCAGCAGTAAGTTATGCTTATGCTGTTCAGGATAGCTTCTACTATTGTCACAACCTCTTACAACCTGCATTTTTAATTACTATAATCGGTTACCCCCAAGAGTGCACTTAAGCATGTGGAAGGAAGATACTTTACTATTGCAGCAAGCAGAGGCTGTTATGAGCATCAGTTATGTGCTAAGCCTGCAGAATGGGAGCTAAAAGTTGAAAATGCAGCATGCACACACATGCAGGACAGGAAAGGAGGGAGGAGTATAAGCCTCTGCTGTGGTAAGTATCTCCTGTTTCTTTGCTGTCTGTGGGTCTAAAGGAATTATCTTGTCACTACTCCTGTGGGATCCATTATAGGACTGGATACTGCCTTACCAAGAAGGAACAGAGGGAACGAAATAGAAGTAAAAGCTTGCTGAAGTCAGATTTTGTTCTTATTTTCCTTCCTACAGCTGTTCTGCAAAGGCAGAATCACTGCTTTTGAATTTACGACTGATTCCTCAGCTGGGATTGCTTATGCTCCAGGATTAGAGCAAACCAGCAAGGCTTTATCCTCAGGAGTACATCAGCAAGCCTATTATTAGCCTAAACCAAAGCTGTTACTAGTTACTGCCATGTTAGAAATAAGAATCAGTGATGGGAAGAGGAGCAAAATACACAAATAAATGAAAATGTATGTCCTGTTTCCTTAAAAAATTTTCTATCAGCCCTAGCATTGATAAAAGAATCCCTTACAGCATCCCCAGTAACAGTCCGCCCCCACCCTCACCTCCCCCCCAAAAAAAGAAGTGTAAGAGAACTATAATGCCAGAGTTTGAAAGTGTACAAACTTAGAATTGGGTTGGCTTTCTGGGGGATTTTTTACAGAAATTTACAAAAAATTACTTGTCCTTTGCCTTTCTTAAATTAAATTACCACTGAGAAAAAGGGAGTAAGGAAGAACAGCTGGCAGCATCCTGTCTTGTAAGCATTTTTAACAGAAAAGCATATTAATCTGAGCTTGATTTTCCATATGCTACCAACAGCACTAAGAAACCTTTAGTTTCCTTCTGTGACAAGTAGCATTAGCCTAAAAATAGCTAGCAGAGTGCTTTAAAGATGAAGCTAATAGATAAAGCCTTTATGCAGGAGCATTTTATCTGATCAACTGTAGAACTTACCTTCATTAAGTAAAAGCTGTAGCCAGATAATGATTATGATCAACAGCATTACAAATGGCAAACAAAGCCAGAAGAAAAGAAGATGAAAGGTCAGATCATTCACCAAAGGAACCAGAGGGTACTTCATTGCCAGCTTCAGGTTACACTAAGTTTAGAACAGCTCGCCTGCTCCGCTTTACTACCTCTTAATAACTCTCATTGCATCACTGCGTTAATCGCAAGACGACCGCTGATATACTCAGCATGGTTAGAAAAAGGGACAGCCCTGTGCTATGCAGGGAGGGAGTAATAAGGATTAAATGTGGGATAAGAAGAACTGAGAAAACATCTGATTTGGTTGTCCTTCCTTCAGTTGCTACTTAAAGGATAAACACAAGTTAGGAAGCTTTCAAGGCTTATGTTAAAACAATAGTTAAAGGCATGTTTATATCTTCAGATCCAGGGGACATAACCAGGCGCTTCAGCCACTTTGAAACTGGGTAGCCAAGGTTATGTCTGAGAAATTAATAAAACACAATCAACCCTGCAGAGATGTGCAGAGGATGACTAGCAAAAAATTACTTCTCCCAGGTGTTCTTATTTGACACAGAGCACAAATATGTCCCACATTAACATGGACTTTATTTTTAGCCTACTCACTATGTTTCTATCTATTAGTTAATCCATTAGGAAAATAAACCTCTGTATTTTCATTGTCATTTTATCTCCCTTCCTTCCAAGAAAGACAAGCTAGCATGTTTCATAGGATATGTGCCTAAAAATGTATTTCTTAATAGTAAAGGAGTTCTGTATGATTAAAGCAGGTACAGATATGTGACTTTGGTAACTTGATATTCATCACACCGTTTCTCCTTCAATAAAGTAAAACCATTAGCTGTTGCTTACCTCACAGGGGGCTGTTTGGCGACATTAATTGTTTGTGTAGCTCTCAACAAACCTTAGACAAGGGCTGCTATGTAAGTGCACATTATGAATGATTGCATGCATTTAACGTTCTTGCTTGTGTGCATGTGTTTGGTTTTATGTAGTAACAGCCCCTTGAAATCAGCCTTTTAATCCCAAGATCTAAAGCACTTTGTAAATTCTTATTAATTCACGCTAATAACAGCCCTGTGTGATAAAAGAAAGCTATTATCCCCAGTCTGTGCATTGAGTAAACAAATGAGAAAAGCTATTAATGACCTTAGCTTTAAGGATGCTAAATATTTGCAGTCCCCATTTCACACAGGGCAGGTGGTGGGTTGGCAGCACTTCTGACAACCAGGCGGTTGGTGGTTTGTCCACAAAGGCAGTCACAAGAGTGACGGGAAGGAGCAGAATCCAGAAGTTATGATCTCTTCACGTTTTCATGGTAAAGCGTTTCTCTGGGACCACTCAGGGTCCACCCTTGCTCTCCACGGAGCCGAGCCGGGGGCTAGGTTGGCTGGGCGGCCTGTCCTTCGCTCCGCCGCCATGGTGGGACGGCTCCCAGCTGCTGTGCCCGTCTCCCATCCGCGCAGACACCTGTGGAAAAGGGCAGGATGTCTCCGCCCTGGCTGGCACCCTTTTTTTCAGCAGGGAGATGTGCCCGCTGAGCGCTGCGGAGGCCTCAGGGAAGCCGCTGCTGCGTGGGTGACC